CAGGCACGAACGGGCACATGAGTAGAACCACCGACGTTCCGTAAGCTAGCTGGATAGCTTCCTCACATGAAAGAATCCAAAGTCCCTGTCGGGATTCGAATCCACAGAGGTGAGGGTCAAGTGGTTTGAAGTCAACGACCTTAAACACTCGGCCACAGACGCCCCCACGAATTTATTAAATAGAATTATAAAATGTATTGTGATTTCATTGCTACAATATGTCCAAAGACTAGTCAATAAAAATTGCCCAGTTAGGGCGACAAAACCAGTTAGATTTAATGTAATTTGTATACAAGACAATATATATGCTGTGATATATAATATTCATGTGTTCCCTTTTAAATACACACAATATGATAGCGGATATATTCAACGTTATACACAACTAGATTACAACATTACTAAAACTGTTGCAAATAAAAAATATATACAAAATAAGACGTAGTTAACATCAAAGTTATTGCAACCTTTTTTTTTGCAACAAGTTCATACGTCCTTAAGTTAAAATTTCTCTGACGTTAAGCTGTTGATGCGGTTGCATAATTTGTACTATTCTTTTGTAATATTTTCATATTGAATTTCTTGTGATTCAAAATCTCTGGTGTGGATACTTGAATGAAGCTATTCAGCTTGCCAACGAACGGTCAGTGACATCATGTATGTCTCCTGTCTGGTATGCCTAGTATCATTCACAGAAGAACTTTAGGTATACCACCACTAAAAGGTATGTCCGAAAGCGAACGCACTACATTTTTGGATAGTTTTTATTGATTAACCTTGCTGTATGATATAATGTGACCCCATATCTTATGCAACTGTCATAGTACCCGCTTAGTTAAAGTTTGTGTAATTTACGCGATACAATTTTATTAAGCTCTGATTAAAATTAAACATGTATCATGAGAATGTATGCTTTAAGAATTTAAAGTTGTATGTGAAATTTTGTTTCATACGATTTGCTGACATTTGTATTTAAGAAACAAGGGAAACATAAATCAATATAATTTATTGTTTTCACTGTGTAGATGTTACGTTCTCGTTCTGGTTTCCTTTCAAATCTTCTTTTTATTTTTCTAATTTTATTTCTAAAAACTTTAGTACATCTGCATACTTAACATAAATGTTCAACCCAGAAATAATGGCAAATATTTTAATAAATTATAGACTTTACCGTTTTGTCAAAGAACATGAAGACTTTTAACATTAAAAATAATTTATCTATTTTACGGGGTGGCAATACAATTGACAACAGCCATTTTGTACAACAGATGGCAGTCTTGAGTCTTGACTTGTATATTAACAGCTAAACCATCCTGCGTTATACATCTGTTTTGAGGATATTAAACAAAAGGTAAGATTTTACTAATATTTTATTGTATTTTTGTACACTATTTTACCTTTGTTATAAGTGAGTTATCGCAAATAAGTTGTATTTATTTCGACGAATTTCATTAATATTAAGCTTACATTTATATTTAAGTCTTTTTAACCTTTATTGTTGTCAATTTTATTATAGAAACTATTGCATAGTTTGAAGAATTATTTCAGTTCAAAAATTATCTCAACTTTAAAAATGCATGTAGATCTAATCATCTAGCGTATTTACAATGTTAGGCATAATATAAGGCTTAGTTACATAATGCACCAACAAAAGATTGCAGGGAGTCTTTTCGGAAATATATTTAACATTTTGGGCAATTTAATGCTATGATTCTGATCACGTCTAAAGGGATATAAGTAAATATAATTCTTCAAAAAAGTTATCTAATAAAATGACTTTTATGATATCAATGTTACAATGTGTTTGCATATAGACTGTAAATTCATCACAACGTTATACCTGCCTGTTTGTAAGTTCTGCTTTAAATTGTTGCATACAGCTACGACTCACTTTATGCACTTTTTAATTACACAGAACATGTCTTGTTATTAAATTTCACTTTTTATTAATTAGATACTTCAAAAACATTACTTGCACAATTAACTTCCATGAATTTTCTGTGTTTTTTTTCCATTAGTTCTGATCAAAAGTACTCCTGAAATTTTGGGATTTGGGATAAAAATGGCTCGAGCATTTGGTGTTGCTTTCCTCTTCATCTTGGTATGTGTATTACAATTTCCCATGTACATAAGACAATAAGTACTAAATCAATAACATTAAACATTCAAAATATTTTGTATGCTTGTCGGTATATTGTTCTATAATTTCATTTATGTTTAAATTTAACCCTTAATATACTCGTAGGTATAGTATTATAGGTCTAGCTACTCACATTGACCTAACGCTTCAATTTACGTTGTACAGTAAATTACTCCGTATTTCAGGCCACTTTCGGGCGTACGGCAAATTTCGCGATTTTTGCAGAAATCTGATTTTAGTGTATCTAATTTATGTATCTATTTATTTAATTATCGATTTTGTTGTTGTAGGTTTTTTAGGGGGGTTTTTTTGCGTTTTTCTGCTGACTCTTTTTGTCAGAACAAGTAAAACATTTAATTCAAAGCTGCAATGCATATCAAATATTTATATACCACAATGTAAAATATATACGTCTAAACTGAGTAGTAAACCTGAAGGACAAATTAAAGTTCCAGAAACTCGCAAAGTCCTCGTATAGAATTGAAGGCCAATTTAGTGAATCCATTTTTGGCGACACGTATTTATATCCTTGCGCATATCTCCTTTTTATATTAATACCCCAAAAAATTTCGTAAAAGAATTGTAATTTTTTTATCCTACGGGGCATTTTATTTCTTATTTTTAGACAATTTTTCCAAAAAGGGGAACGCATCGCAAAACCCTGAAGGAAAAGCGTTTTTTGAAAAGTAACTGGGATATGATTTAAGTATTTTATTTTACCCTTAACTTTGTGAAAAAAATTTATGTTTTTATTATGTCATCCATTACATTTGAAAAATCTTTTTGGGGATGCATTATTGAATCAACCTTTTTCCCCGTTATCTTTTTTTTTAATTTAATCATCTATATAATTCAAAAACAGATTATTTTTTTTCCTATTTCCCCTCAATGTTTCCCCTTTTTAACACAAAAAGGTTGGAAAAAACATGTTTTTCTCCTTGTGTTCTTGCATGCAAAGAAAAAAGGGTTTATTCTTTAACAGATGTATTTTGTTATGTCTAGCACATTTTCTTCGAACGCCGACTACGCTTTTTCTTGACCACACTCAGTCCCAGCATTATAAAAGGAGAATTCACATCACATATCAATTAACATGAAGATGTCTAAAGTTAAATCACCTTAACACGATGAAACCAAAATAAATGAGCATTCGCAACCAGTATAGCCAGGCCAGCCTATAAGTTTGACCTGGCTCTTTATTGTTAGAAGCTAAGTTATTGTAATTTCATCTTGAATTTTCAAATACAAAGCTGGGCAAATCCATTTCATAAACTCAATAGGTTATAGGTTGGTTAATAGAAATGAGAAATTATATAAAGTAGCTTTAATACATTTTCAGGACTGTGGAGACGGACGTCTTTGTTTGTGTGCAGATTTTAATATATACACTTACAACAATGAGGCAGAAAATCCCTGCACCAATTTAGTCTGCCGAGGTAAATGATAATGTAAAGGTTTGCCTAGCAATTTGAGTTTAATAAACCTTAAAGATATTGTGTCTAAATATGAAGTCAGTCCATTTAACAGTGGCAAGTAACAACAAAAAAAACAAACAAAAACCCAGAAACTTTAATTAATTTGACCTTGACGGTCAAGATCAACTAAAGTCAATGTCATGATCAAGGTTAGAGTTTGCGGACGGCAACGCCAACGGAAACGCCAACGCTGGCATAACTGTAACAATACCTCTATATATTTATTATAAAAAACGAACTGTTACGAAGTTACAAAGGACAAAATAAGTTTTATTTGTGTGTGGTTAGACCCCCTATGTTGCACATAATTAATGTGGTGGGTGATGTTATGCAACGCAATTAGATATATCTCTAGTTATCACAATTGTTGTGTCCCCACTTTAGATTTACCGTTGTCCGTCCGTCCTTCCGTCCGTCCGTTCTTTTGTGTGTCGCACGTAACTCAAAAAGTATTTGACCTAGAGTCATGAAACTTAAGAGGAATGTTGATCAGCATGTGCAGTTGTGCACCTGGGTATTTTCGTGTGGATTTATTTAGTAGTTTTAGAATAATTGCCCATGACTTAGTAAACATTTGCAATTTTCAAATTGTGTCGCATGTAAGTCAAAAAGGATTTGACATAGATTCATGAAACTTTACAGGAATGTTGATCAGCATGTGTAGTTGTGCACCTGGCTATTTTCGTGTGGATTTATTTAATATTTTTAGAGTTATTGCCATTGACTTAGTAAAATTTTGCAATTTTCAACTTTTGTCGCATGTAACTCAAAAAGGATTTGACCTAGAGTCATAACAATTTACAGAAATGTTGATCAGCATATGTAGTTATGCACCTGGGTATTGTATTTTTGTGTGGATTTATATAGTATTTTTAGAGTTATTGCCCTTGACTTAGTAAAATTTTGCAATTTTCAACTTGTGGCGCATGTAATTCAACAAGCATTTGACATGGAGTCATGAAACTTTACAGGACTGTTGATCAGAATGTGTAGTTATGTACCTGGGTATTTTCGTGTGGATTGCTTAGTATTTTTAGATTATTGCCCTTGCTTTAGAAATGTTTTGCAATTTTCAACTTGTTTCGCATGAAACTCAAAAAGGATTTGATATAGAGTCATGAAACCTTACAGGAATGTTGCTCAGCATATTTAGCTGAAAATTTGAATCGAGACGCCATTTCATTTTTCTGCTCGATATAAAATCATCTATATGAGCAGTATTTAACGTGATTTTTCAAGAAATAATTTCAGTGTGCTAGCTTTTGCCCGCGAGTTTTATATCATAAAAACACACAGAAACTGATTAAGAATTGTACTGAGTATAGTTTCTTTTACAATACAAACGATAAACAGAAAGAACAACCAGTCACAAACTTTTCAACAATAGCGGAATTTATTCTTAAAACAAATTACAAAAATAATAATTAACAAATGTTAACAGTACCCGAATTTTAAATAATTTTGTACAGTCATAAATTAATATATAATAATTCCGGAATGATTAAAGCATGATGATTTTTTAACGGTTCACAAAAAATATTCCAAAGGTTTTGGTTATAATAACAGACGAACAAATCATTTCAAAATGTTATGTTCTAAAAGCTTTTTAATCTAAAACGAAGATTTACCCTAAGAAATCCTAAATGAAAATGCCAAAGTATCAATTTACACAAAAGAGGATCCAGAAAATTCTTGAATATGCTCATTATTGACAGGTGCAAGAAGAATTTTCTTACATTCAATTTAACCTATAAATAGAACACATTTGTTCAATATTACAAACACAGTGAATAAGTCATGTAGAGTTCTGGAACATACAAGTAGAAACAGGCTGTATTCAAGATACTGATTAATTCAAAAACTAGCGCAGTATGTTTGCAAACTACCAATGAAACGTCATATATCATACATAAAACATTGTTTTCATCGACAGAGTTATATGGTCATTGATAAATGAATATATAGCTTCACCACAAATGCACCAAACATATTTATCTATGAATTTAACACCCTTGTTTCTAAATTTCTCTTGTGTAATCATGAGTGGGATAAAGTTATGTAAATTCGTAATTTCTTATTTAACCGTCACACTTTTTTCTTTTCGGGAAATAATGAGTTAACAATATTTTAACACTTGTATCCATGTGAATTTTTCGAGTAGTCTGGAAAATAACTGTCAGACGTGACAGATCGTCCACTTAGGCGGCTTCTATAGGAACCCATAAGTTTGGGGTTTGTCCGATTTGTCCAGGACTTCCCAGACCTGAAAATATTGTATGTTTTATATTATTTATTTTTTCAAAAGTTAGTTGCAAATGAATTAAAAATTGTTTAGTAATTGTTCACCAAATGATCCTTTCACCATGGCGTTTCAACTTTTCATATGGAAGTAGGTAATCAATTATAGAACATTAGTCTTTTTCTTTCTATTTCGAAAAACACATATTGGAGCACTCTAATGGTGGGATAATATAGGCCCGATTTCAAAGTGATTGATGTATTCAATAATAATTTTTAAAATAGAAAAGAGACCATATCAAAAATCAAAATGCTACATTAACAAATAATTTCCTCCCTTTTCATTCACACAAATCCATCTGAAACTTTATATTCATAATTGTACAAAAGATATATCTTTCGCATGACAATAATCTATACAAGTTGTATACATTACGAAAATTTACTATACAAAAGTGTGTGTGTGTGTGTGTGTGTGCGCGTGTGTGTGTGTGAGAACTAAGTGTCCCCTAGGGCGGACCTTTTTTGTCCCCATGTGTATACCTGGTACATCTTTAGGCAATGCTACCTACCAAATATTTAAGCTCTGGGCAGTGTAGTTTCACAAAAGAACACCTAAATGTATTTTCCTATGCATGTATTTATAAACTTAGTGCTCCCTACTGAGACGCGTTAAGTTGTGACCCCAGGGGTATGATTAATATACCTTTGTAGAAAAAGGTGATGCTATATGCTCTAGGCATTGCGTCTCTGAGAAGAGGATTTTTATAATTACCTTCTTAAAGTCTATTTTAGCGCCTGATATCACCTACGCATCAGAATGGACCAATTTATGTACTTATATATAGTTTCACAAGCAAGACTTCAATATGTTTCCTATATACGTTTATGTATTATAAATGACCCCCAGAGCTGGGCCACTTTTGTACAGGATCACCTTAAATTTAGATCATTTCTGTGAAGTTTTGTCAAAATCCACTTAGTGGTTTAGAAGGAGATATTGTTTATTTTTAAACAATTGTGGATAACGACGAGCGACTAAAAATGAACACACTGTCACCTATGAGCACTTTGAGCTCACATTAGCTATATATCGATTATATGAGAGATTATCTAACAGAAAAAGGAAACATTGACTTTACCCAATCGAGTCTCTTCTCAGTCTTTGTGAATGTGGTAGCTCCTTGTCCCTGTTCCGAATTTTCCGAATAGCCAAGCAGGTAATTGTAAAAATGACTATTGGTACAAATAACACACAAACAATGACAATAATCACAATCTTCAAACCAACTGTAAATATAATAGAAAACAAAGTAACGCTGCTTTTCTTCTTTATGAATATTAGTTCAATAATATCAATATTGTTTATCAATGGTGCGAGCAATATATAGATAAACATCTGATCGTTCTATAATACAGCATTTAGCTAATCTTCTTTTAATTTTTCATAGCCATCAGATGATATAAATAATTGTTTGGCAGTAAGGCACTGCATTATTTAGATCGGTACGGCATGGTTCAATGTTTGACTAA